CTATTATTGTTACAGGATCTGACTGGACTTAAAAAAACCAAGAACAACCAAAAAACCCGACCATTGAGTAGCTCAGTTTTGAATATTACAGGCAGTGTACAACTGCCTCCAAAATCTTCAGGCAGTTTTGCAGGACCTAGCTATCTGTAACTGAACAGCTTTATGCATTTGGGAAACAATCAAGGTGTACGGTTAAAAGTTTTACATTTATAAGATATAAACTACACATCTTTAAAATAAGAGAATAAGAATAGGGAGTGTTGCCACACTTCCATTTAGATAATCATTAATGGAACTCGGTAATAATTCCCAAATGGCACACTGAAGACAGTAATACACAATTATGCTTTCTGAGCAACTTAATGGATCTTCTTTAAAGAAATATTAAGGGAGTAAAAGGTTCCTAATGTGATGTGCTTAAAACATTTTAGAAACTATGTGCTTCTGTGTGCCAAAAGCCAAGTAAAAATCAAGGATGAGAGGAATTAAAAAGAATATAAGCAGGGCTAAAAGCAGAAGAGGGTGTACAGAGTTTTAGAAAGTCCATGGAGAATTAAGTCCATGGAGAATGTACATTAGCAGATATTTTTACAAAGCAATTATCACTTAGCATCAAAGCATAGTTCTGAAGGCTGTTAACAGCCACTACAAGTTTGTACTTATCCTCCCACCTAAGTAGAGCCACAGGCATCAGAGTTTCTTGTTGAAGAACCCTAGGGCTTTGATGCTTCCAGTTCTGGTTTTATTCGTGTCACTTTTGGTGTCTCATACCTAGTAAGTTCAAAGCAGTGCAGCTTATGTATTGGGATGGTGGCAACACTTAGGATGGTTTTTAGGTCCTAGTGGTCACTCCATATCCTAGATTAACCCATAAGAAAACATAATCTCCTCTGCAGACCCTATACAACCCCCAAAGGCTCTTTTCCAAGTGTTTGGATATCAAGCCCATTTTCAAACACTGACACAAAAACAACAGCTGATGTGACAATAAGATGTTTTATGATTTAGAAAGCACTACAACAAGCTTCAACAGGAATGGGCTTCCTCGCTTCAAAACTTCTCCCACTTGAGTTGGCTACTACCTATTTTCCCTACATGAATAAGGAGAGAGTATTTGCATTTAAACATTAATTGGTGACATTTAAACATTGATTGATTAAACATTGTACAAGGCATTTAACTCTATCCCACATGAGATCCTGGTCTCTAAACAGTAGATACATGGATTTGATGGATGGACCACTCGGTGGATAAAGAATTGGCTGGATGGCCATGCTCAATGAGTTGTGGTCAATGGCTTAATGTCCAAGTGGAGACCAGTGACAAGTAGTATTCCTCAGGGGTCAGTCCTGGGACCAGTGCTTTCAATATCTTTGTTGGAGACATGGACAGTGGGATGGAGTGCACACTCAGCAACTTGACCAATGACACCAAGCTATGTGGTGCAGTCAACACGCTAGAGGGAAGGGATACCATCCAAAGGGACCTGGACAGGCTGGAGAGGTGGGCCCAAGTGAACCACGTGGAGTTCAGGCAGGCCAAGTGCAGGGTCCCGCACCTGGGTTGGGACAGTCCCCAGAACAAACCCAGACTGGGCAGAGAATGGCTGCAGAGCAGCCCTGAGGAGAAGGACTTGGGAGTGATGGTGGGTGAGAAGCTCAACACATCCCAGCAACGTGCACTGGCAGCCCAGAAACCCCCCGCACCCTGAGCTGCATCCCCATCAGCGTGGCCAGCAGGGCCGGGGGGGGAATCTCCCCCTCTGCTCTGGGGACACAACCCCTCCCAGTGCTGCCTCCAGCTCTGGGGCCACCACCAGCAGAAGGACATGGAGCTGTTGGAGCGGGGCCAGAGGAAGCCACTGAGACGCTGGGAGGGCTGGAGCCCCTCTGCTGGGAGGGGGGGCTGAGAGAGTTGGGGGGGTTCAGCCTGGAGAAGAGAAGGCTCCGGGGAGACCTTGGAGCCCCTTCCAGTCCCTAAAGGGGCTCCAGGAAAGCTGAGAAAGGAGTCTGGATCAGGGAGGGGAGCCATAGGACAAGGGGGAAGGGTTTGACACTGAAAGAGGGGGAGATTGAGATGAGATGACTTCTTTGGTGGTGAGAACCCTGGCCCAGGTTGCCCAGAGAAGCACTTGCACTGGGGCTTGCAAGTTAAATGAAGGAAGAAGGTGGAGAGGAGGAACTCAGCACACCTGTATTTGAAGAAACTGCAATGTGAGTGACTGAGCCAACCTAGTGGCTCGTTCTTGTTTGTTCCTCCCTGCCTCTGTCCCCAAACTTTTTTACACTTTCATTAAGTGTCAGTTGATTCAGTCACCTGAATCTCAGAGAGATTTAACAGACCCTAGGAGCTGTATGCCTTGAAGAAGGAATGAACGAGCTATGCCTACTCTTACAACACATACCATGCAAGACACACACCGGAGTTCCCAAGATCTAGGGTGCATTCTTTCCCATGAACTGCACTAAACAATTTGGAGACCATCAACAGCAGACAGCATCTTTGCCCACAAAGAAAACACTCCTTCAACAAGCACTGCACAGTGGAAAGAATTTCATATTCATAATGCAACAATACCATGAGACTAAGTTGTCAACCACCACCTTAATCCGGAACTTCAGACAGTCTTTTCAACTCTTTGGACCCACATCACAGGGTGCTCCAGTTTTAAATACAGAAACCAATTCAATAGTCTGCTGAAAGCTAGTATAGTGAAGACCAGCGAGATCCAACATGCCCACTGCAGATCATGTCACTATGTTGTTCAGTAGTCAACGTTTTGTATATATCTGCTATTGTTACAGACAACTGAGAGGTAGCAATGCCATGAAGGAATGGTTAGAATGAGAGAGAAGCTAAACAAAAGCGAGGACTGAGATACCAAAGCAAGATCTAAGTGCAGATTTTACTTGCATCTCTAAGATTATGCTCCTCTGTAGGTGTTCCCAGATGAGGGCCCAGATTTGAGAGTACCATACTTCACTAGCCAAGCTGTTCCTTCTCCCCATACAAATCAGAGTTTAGAAGCAAATATGGACACTACTTCACCCTGCCCTAGGGGGAAAAAAATATGCTCTTATCCTACCTCAAGGAGGGAGACAAAGATATATTCTAAATATGCCCAACAGCACTAATACAAGAGTAAGGCACTGATAATAGGTACCGGTGGGGCACAGCAAATGCACACAACAGCTCCTTGTGAAAGCTGTTTTGTCCCCCAAAATAACCCCATCCATCAGTCACTGGTGTATCATGGTAGTACCAGTGTATCAGAGCACTCCTCTCTGCCACAAGCCGAAGATGATGTACTACCATATCAACATGTGCACTACCTCACCTGCTGTCCTACTACATTGTAGTGTGCTCACCTTTTCCAAACTGATGGATCAAACTGACTCCATGCCAGTCCTTGACCCATTCTTGTATTTTATTAATTTGTGGGGCCTCTGCTGGCACTACCAATCCACTTGAAGCATTAATAAAAATGCCAAAATGCACTGGGCATTGGAAGAATAAGGAAGGGATGATGGAGAAAAAGAAAAAAGGGGATAATATAGAGATTAAAAAAAAAAAAGTAGTAGTTAACTGGCAACCAGACCATTCCTAATTCAAGATCACTGGCAAGGATCTGGTAAGGAGACAGATATAGAAGAGGGAAAAATAAGACTGTCACGTTAAGATGTTGCGCCAATAATACCCAAGATGACATAGTACTCTCCAAATTACCTACTACACAGTTCAGAACTTTAAATGACACTTCCAAGATTTTCAGAACATAAAAAACACATGAGCTTGAAATACAAAAGCTGTGTATCATGCAATGCAGTAGCTAAAAATCCACTCCCTTCTGTACCAGGATTACATGCACATTGTCACACCCTTAAAAATTTATCCCACAAAACTTATTAGTATTGCAAGTAATAGAAATGCAAGACTCAAGACAGGCTGTGGGATCAGGTTCAGCACAAATCCCCTTTCTCTTCTGCTGGCTGCTTTCTCGGAGCGAGTCTGTCAGTCGGGATGAAAGCAAAGCCAAGAGCCACCCCTGCTGTGAGCATCCCAGCCCCAACCCCCGGCCTGCACACCCTTCCCGAAAGGTTGCCTGGAGAGGGCTGTGGGCCTGACAGAGACCCCACGTTTGACAAAACTACGCTGTTAACTATAAAAAGAAAAATAAGAAAACAACCCAAACAGTATATAAATACTACCAAAGAGCAGAGGGCACATAACACAGACGTGGTGGAGCAGCCCGGGGTAGGAACGATGCTGTCACTTTTCCTCCAGCAAGAGCAAGGCCGCAGCTCGGTCACTGCCGCCCCACAGGCGACCTCCCTGCTACGCCGGGCTGCGGCCCCCGGCTGCCGCTGCCGGGTGGCCCAGGCCCCGCTCCGCACCCTCGCTAACCGCGAGGAAAACACCGTCCGACTAAGCGAGGCCTCCAGCACCACCGCAGGCCCCACCAGGGCCCCGGCACCAGCGTCGGGCCGGAGCCCGTCTTTACCCGTGAGCGCTTTTCGCACGATTGCCGCCGCCCCGCCTCCCCCCATCCCGGCGGGGCTTCCCCGCCCAGGCGCGGGACCCAAGGAGCTTCCGGGGACGGCACAGCCACTCACCTGTGGCAGAAAATGCAGAAGGAGCCAGACAGAGAGCTGGGCCGGCCGCGCCGCCATACCGGGCCCGCTGCGCAGCCGCCCGCTTTGTTTCCGACCGGGCCGGGTCAGGCCCTTC